CTTAGCCATGCAAGAGATCTACTGAACAAAGCAATTGTGAAGGAGAATGAGAAGGGAGACTTTTCTCGATTCTTATGCTTTCTCTGGTCTTCCCTCATACCCAAATTAGGCAAAATGAGTCAAGAATTATGAATTCAGGGTCTCCCTGGTGGTGCAGGGGTTAAAGTCTCAGTGTTATCAAGCTATCACCAGCCACTGTGGCATGTGCATGTGTCAGTGCACAAATTCTAGAAGCAGTCAAGTGACACACCCTTTCCATTTTTTTTTTAAAGATTTATTTATTTATGCATACAAGAACTGGGGTAGAGTCCAGAGGTGTGGTTGTGTTGAGAGGGTTCACTAGAGACAGAGTGGGAAGCAGAACAGGCAGATCTACTGAAACACACTGGCGAGGGGAGCAGCAGGCAAGGCAGGAGAGGTCTGCTGAGCCATGTAGGTAGCTTCCTGGCTGGCTGGGGATCGAATTCGTGCTGTAGAGGCTGCAGATAGCCTCACAGTGCTGTGCTTAACCACTTGCGCCACCAGGGAGGCCCCCACACTTTCTTTTTTGATCTTCAAAACTAAACCTTTCAAAAATTGAAATAAAATTTACAGTAAAACATACAGATCTTAGATATAGATTGATCTGTCTTGAAAAATGGTAGTAAACTACCCAATCAGAATTGAGAATATTTTCATCACCAAAGAAAAGTCCTACTGTGTCTCTTCCAGTCAGTCCCCACCACTCCCACTCTTTGGAGGGAGTTGGATAAGGAGAAATGTCATCTTATTTCCTTTGGGCACATGGATTATCCCTGGTAACTCATCTTGCTTCCTTTTCAGGTGACTTTTACTGTAAGAGATGGTGGAGAAAAATGGAAAAAATGTATAAGGAAAGTGGTAATTTGTTGATAGACATGAATGTTAGAATCACTTTCTTTTCTGAATGATCCTACCTGCTCCTTATCCAATCCACTGCTAAGTCCTGTCAAGCTGATCTCCTGTCTGTGCTGCCAAAATCTCTGGCTAGAAAATTCCTACCTGGTCTCCTCTAGTACTCACTCTCTACCTTCAGGATTTCTCCATCCTAGAGGCCAATTATTTATTCAGCAATGCAAATCAGGGCATCCCTGGTGTCACATAGGTTGGGTAAAGACCTATGAACCTATCTGCAGCTACTGCAGCACGAGTTTGATCCCTGGCCAGCCAGGGAACTACCCACATGGCACAGCAGAACTCTCCTGACTCACCCGCTGCTCCCCTTAGCAGTGTAGTTTAGTCGATCTGCCTGTTCTGTTCCCCAGTCTGTCTTTAGAGAATTTTCTCACTACCCCTTCACCTCTGGCCTGTACCCCGGTTCTTGTATGCATAAATAAATCTTAAAAAAAAAAAACAATGCAAATCAGACATTTCAGCCTAGCCCCTTGAAATCCTAAAAGAAGTGTCTTCTTTTTCTAAGATAAAGATAAAAGACTTTGTATTTCCTAAGCCTCCATTCCTCTCTAGTATCCAGCAATATTATCTTTGTTCCCTGAGTTTGAACTCCCAATTTATTTTTTTTTATTTTTAATTTATTTATACAAGCACTGGGTACAGTCAGAAGCGCGGGAGGGTGAGAGAATTCACCAGAGCCAGAGCGGGGAGCAGAGCAGGCAGAAGGACCGAAGTACACTGCTGAGGGGAGCAGCGGGCGGCAGGAGAGGTCTGTGCGCCATGTAGGACGCTCCTCCGGTGGCCGGGGAGCAGCCGGGGATAGAACCGGCGCGGCAGAGGCTGCGGGCAGCTTCCCAACCAGGGGAGGACCTAAACTCCCAATTTATTGACCTTTCAGGTTTTTATTACACTTATCAGGATCTTTAGAGTTCCTTCCCTTTGGCAGCAAACCCCTTCTCTTTTTTCAATTTAATTCTTACTCTCCTTTCAATTTGGTGTCAGCTCAAAATTTTCTCAGGGAAATCTTTCTTGAAGGTAGTCCTTTCAGATGACAAAAATAACACATTTTGGATGATTTACTTCCTCCAGGTCATTCCAAATCCAGGTGTGGCTAGAAACAAATGTGAAGTCCAAGGTGATCTACATGAGAAGACTCAACTGGGTCTACTTCCTTTTTATAACCAGATAGATTTTGCTCCTACTCTTCAAGTTCTTTCTCTTTTATTAGGCTTCAAAAATATTAAGATTTCAGAGATTTTTTAATCCTTCATGTTTTTGGTAATTAAAATATTAAATGATTATACTGAGTTTTATTACCAACTTTGGACTTTGCAGTCTGAAACAGGAAGGTGGAACTTTCTGTGCTGATAGCACTCTAAAAGAATGGTGAACGTTTCTGCTAGAAATCTACCAGACTTTGTAAGAAGTTGGGAAGCATCCACCACATAAATGACACAGGACAAGGAAGACAAGGATTTTCTGTATGCCCAGGGACAGCAGTATTATGACAGGAAACAAAGTGGCAATAGTGGTCAGACTAACCAATATACTGGAGTAAATCTACAACTACAAAGAAGATTGTGCTATGGCTTGATGGGGACCTTGAGCCCAAATGCAGCTCTAAGAGCATGCTGGCTGTTCAATGTTGCAAGCATTTTAGGGGAGATCAGAGAAGGGACCAAGTGATCCAGTTCTCAGTTTTGCTTATTAAGCAGACAATAAAATCATGAAGTTGTACAATTCACTTCAACAATAGAAGAGTAGAGCATTGAAAAAAGCAATTTCTGCTAAGCGTTTTATTTATTTATTTATTTATAAGATTTATTTATTTATGCATACAAGAGCTGGGGTAGAGGCCAGAGGTGCAGGGGGTGAGAGGATTCACTAGAGACAGAGTGGGGAACAGAACAGGCAGACTGACGAAATATACTGCTGATGGGAGCAGCGAGCTGACAGAAGAGGTCTGCTGTGCCATGTGGGTAGCTCCCAGGCCGGTTGGGGATTGAACTGCTGCTCCAGAGACTAGATAGCTTCACAGTGCTGTTCTCAACCCCTTGTGGCACCAGGAAGGCCCTGCTAAGCATTTTAAAAGAATTTATTAGTGGGCCTCCCTGGTGGCACAGGGGGTAAAGACGGAACTATCAAGCTATCTGCAGCAGGAATTCGATCTCTGGCCAGCCAGGGAGCAACCCACATCACACAGCAGATCTCTCCTGCCTCGCCTGCTGCTCCCCTCAGCAGTGTATTTCATTACATCTGCCTGTTCTGCTCCCCACTCTCTCTGGTGAATCCTCTCACCCACCGCCACTCTGGCTTACAGGCCAGTTCTTGTATGCATAAATAAATAATCTTTTTTTTTTTAAAAAAAGAATTTATTAAAGGGGCCTCCCTGGTGGCCTAGGTGATAAGTTTCAGTGTTATTATGGAGGCGGCCCTTCAGGGTAGCCTGAGTTTGATCCCCTAGAAGTAGGGCCAGGGATCTGACCTACATATATGGTGCAACAAACCGCTTCTGTCTTGCCTGCTGTTCCCCTGGGCAGTTTATTTCAGTAAATCCGCTTCTTCTGTTCCCCACTTTGTTTCTGGTGAATCCTCTCACCCCCTCTACCTTTGGCCTACACCCCAGTTCTTCTCAAAAATAAACAAAACAAAATTTATTAGAGACCGTCTATAACAGTATATTAGAGAGAAGTAGGAAATACATGGAGAGAATAGAAACAAAATTCTGGGTGTCATACACAAGAGGGCTTTTCTTTCTAAGGGGTGATTCATGAGAATTTACTTTTCCAGAGAATATGGAGTAAAACAGATATGTAGCAATACATTAAACAGAGTGGACATAGATTTCTTAACATTGACCCCTCAATAACTTGTAATCCATTCCTTTTATAATTCACTCCAAACCTTTTATTCATTATTGAACAAAGATTGAACACCAATTATGTGTCAGGCTGTTCTAGATTTTGATTCCTAAGTGCATAAAACTGACAGAAATCTGCTCGTGTTGTGAGGGGAACCCAAACAATAACAAATAGTATGTTAGAGGAGATAAGTGTTATGAGGAAATAGGAATAGGAGCATGGTGAGGGGGATGCATGGTGCTAGCCAAGGTTGAGAAACAGATTTCAAACAGAGGGTCCCAGTATTCCTTTTTGACAGTGACATTTGAAGATGTAAAATAATACAAATGTTTTCTATATTGCTATCTGGGGAAAGAGCATTGCAGCCAAAACCAAAGCCCTAAGGTAGTAGTGTTAGGTATGTCAGCAAAAGACCCCCTTAAAGATGAGGGGATACAGATGGGAGGACCTGAAGTGTTCAAAGACTGGTTTTTTTCTCTAAATGAAGCAGCATCTGGGGGAGGATTTTGAGCAGAGGAATGTCATGAACTAACTTGTATTTCAAAGGTTTTTAATATGTGCAATTATTTTATTTTAATATAAATTTTTAAAAATTTTTCAAACATGGAAGTTAAACCACCTATTATTATTTCATTACACAATTAATGGCTAACGCAATACTATGCATATGTATATATACATATGTACAATTGTTGATCATAATATTGGCGATTATAAATTTATGTAGATATGAAACCCTGTATAACTATAAGTTATCACAAGACATTAGTAATTGCTATGGTGTCACCTAATATCAACTCCAAATTAAAATTTCTCCAATTATTCCAAGAACACCAGTTTAACTAGAGCAATTATAATTTATCATTCAAGTCAGGACACTTTAAAATTTGTACCTTTGATGTTCAAAACATACATTATCTTAAGTGAATAACTGTACTTACATATGGATAACTACCACACAAAACAATAAGCTCAATTATGATATAGCTCAATTATGTTGCTAAGGCAGATGTAATCACAAGTGATTGCTTCCTTGTGAGATTATTATTAAATCTCCTCAGTAAGAACATAATGATATATTGTATCCCACATATTTCCACTTGTACCATTCGTCATAAATTCGAATACTTAGTTAAGGTGGATAAAACAAATTTCATTTTTTGCTTTTTTTTTTTTTTATACCAGCACTGGGTATAGTCAGAAGCGCTGGAGGGAGAGAGAACTCACCAGAGCCAGAGCGGGGAGCAGAGCAGGCAGGACCGAAGTACACTGCTGAGGGGAGCAGTGGGTGGCAGGAGAGGTCTGTGCGCCATGTGGGACCCTCCTCTGGTGGCCGGGGAGCAGCTGGGGATCAAACCAGCGCTGCACAGGCTGCGGGCAGCTTCGCAACCCAGCGCTCAACCGCTGCGCCACTGGGGAGGCCCCATTCTTTGCTATTAAGTTCCATCTTGCCAAATGTAGAAACTCAGGCACTTTCAGGTTAATTAATTCCAACTATGTATTTTAAAAAAAAATTTTATTATCAGTGTTCATTTTTAAACAATATTTGCTTCCCCCATCCCCTCAGGTGTAGTCCAACTATGTATTTTAAAACATTCCCCATCTCCTTCCTCCCCAGTTGTTCTTCAGGGATGGGATGCTTAGACAAGGAGCTGCTTCCACTTTTGTCAGAGAGCTCACATGCAAGTTTGCCTCTGCCAGCCATGCCTTGGCTGGCCCTAGACTCTAGAATGGTTCTACATTTCTCCTATCATCATTTTTATTGTACTTCACATCTTGCACGCACATCCCACCACATGTGCTTGAGGGCACAGACTTGCCTTCATGGCTGCTTAATTTCCAGATGAGAAATTGGAATGAAGATTTCTTCTTAGCTCCCTCAAAACATCATCATACCAGCAGCCTGTTGCCATGGGCTTCATTTAAGGCACAGGATTATATACAGCCCTCCCTCTTCATCATAATAGGGTTCTGGGAGCGTTAAGGGACTGTTGTGGGGGGAGAATGAAATAGTAAAATGTTACAGGAATTTGGGGGAAGACTTGGGGATTGTGACATCAGAGATTTCATCTTGCCAAGAACAGGAAGGAGGGGTAAAGTTCTAACAGGAGAGTACAAATTATCTCAAAGTGGTTTTTAAAAAAAAAATGAATCAGGGCCTCCCCGGTGGCGCAGCGGTTGAGCGCTGGGTTGCGAAGCTGCCCGCAGCCTCTGCGGCGCCGGTTCGATCCCCGGCTGCTCCCCGGCCACCGGAGGAGGGTCCCACATGGCGCGCAGACCTCTCCTGCCGCCCGCTGCTCCCCTCAGCAGTGTGCTTCAGTCCTTCTGCCTGCTCTGCTCCCTGCTCTGGCTCTGGTGAATTCTCTCACCCTCCCGCGCTTCTGACTGTACCCAGTGCATGTATAAACAAAAAACAAACAAACAAACCAGCAAACAAATAAATAAAGCATGCTTCTATAAAAAAATAAATAAATAAATAAAATAAAAAAAAAATGAATCATGCGGGCCTCCCCAGTGGCGCAGTGGTTGAGCGCTGGGTTGCGAGGCTTCCCGCAGCCTCTACAGTGCCTGTTCAATCCCCTGGAGCCGGGTGAGGGTCCCACATGGCGCGCAGACCTCTCCGGCCGCCCGCTGCTCCCCTCAGCAGTGTATTTCGTCAGTCTGCCTGTTCTGTTCCCTGCTCTGGCTCTGGTGAATTCTCTCACCCTCCTGTGCTTCTGACTGTATCCAGTGCTTGTATAAATAAATAAATACATCTTAAAAAAAAAAAAAAAAGAATCATGCCAAGAGAAAGTCATAATTTTTGGTTTAATACTAAGAACATAAGTAACAGTCTCCTAAAATATAATAGATAATGAATATTTGCTATGTACATTTTTAAATGCAATATATTATGCATTTATGATTTGGAAGTAACTCTAGACACCTTTTTAAGCCATAGATTTATATACACATAACAGTTACAAATGAAAATACAGGCAAAGTGCCTTTTTCCCCCGATTCCAGAGACATTCCATAAGAAAACTTTAAAAGTTTGTTTAATATACATGTTTTGTTTCCCTTTCACTTGGTTTTAAAATACTTAAAAGTCTGAAATCATTTAATTCAGAATATACGAAGCGTGGAGGAGCCCGGAGTTCAGCTGTCAGTTGATTGTAGCTGTCTGTTTATCATTAAAATTAATCATAGCTGGTGACTTTTTCCTGGTAATATAATCTTATTGGAGGCTTTTCATCAATACCCTATTCCTATAAAGCAAATGAAATATATTTCAAAAACAAACCAAAAAGATAAAATTGCATACTTGAAAATAATCCAGAAAGTCACTGCTGAACCAATAAAACAATAGGCTCATAGGTGGGATAAGTGACCATGTCATCAAGGAATGGCTGTCATCTTACCCTAACTCTGCAATATATTCATGTTCCTGTCCTGTGCCAGGAGGACCCCAGAGTGCATCTTCACCATTACCCAACAGCCCAGCTATGTTTTTGAAAGGCTATTCAAAGTGACTCTGGCTTTATTTAACTTGCCTGGCATAAAGAAATGCAGCAGCAAGGGGCTTCCCTGGTGGTGCAGGGGTTAAAGTCGCAGCACTATTAAGCTATGGCCAGCCACTGTGGCAGCAGACCCCTCCTGTCTCACCCTTTGCTACCCTCAGCAGTGTATTCTAGTCAATCTGCCTGTTCTCTCTACTCTGACTCTGGTGAATCTTCTAACCAGCCCCGGGCACCTCTGGCCTACACCCCAGATCTTGTATGCCTAAATAAATAAAAATAAATCTTCAAAAAAAGAAAGAAATGCAGCAGAAAGCATCACAGCCAAAGGGTTAGAGAGCTGCAAACTCACTTCTGCCTGTGGGAGTCAGTAGTGGTATCAGGGCCTAAGGTGCTGCCACTCCTGACTAGCAGGAAGGGACGCTGAGCTGCACCACTCCCCTTTCAGGTTTCTATCCTTTGTCAGCTGCCTGAGACCTCAGATGCTCAGTAATCATGGCACCAAAGGGGGACCCCACCCCAGCAGGTCAACAGAGCTTGGAATGAAGCCCAGGAACTTCCTGGGGTAAGGAGAGGTTCCCTGTCCTGCTATTCAGAAGCATTATTGTCTTCGCATCCTTCTCTCCCAAGTTAAGCCCAGAAGCATACTTGGGCTCACCTTCTGCAATACAAAAGAAATGAAAATTCCCTGTAAGCACCCTACTGCTTTACCTTTCCATTTTTACTGCAGAAAATACCTTCAATTGCAATCAAGATTTTTTTCTTTTACTCAACACCACCAGTATCTGCACTCTTTACTATTTAAATCTTTTATTATCCCAGATGTTATTTGTTCCTTCTTCAACTTCATTTGATTAATTAAAAAATACCCTAAATGCAAATCCTTCCCATTAACTGCATATTTCCTATTTTCTCCTTGTTCCTTTTCTGTCCCCTTTATCATTTCCCTAATATTATGCTTGAAGCTCCAGTCTAAGCTGTGGCACAATCCCTACTATCTCTTAACAATGTTTATTTTCTTAAAAATATTTATTTATGCATACAAGAGCTAGGGTGCAGGCCAGAGGTGTTGGGGCTGAGAGGATTCACCAGACAGAGAGGGCAACAGAACAGGCAGATTGATTGAAATACACTGAAATACACTGAGGGGAGCAGCGGGCGAGTCACGTGTGCCACGTGGGCAGCTCCCTGGCGGGGGACTGAACTCATGCTGCAGTGGCTGCGGATAGCTTCATGGGTTGTGTCTTAACCCCTTGTGCCACCAGGGAGGCCCTCTTAACAATAGTTAAATAATCACCAAATAATTATCTAGATGTTAGATTTCTCTTCTAGTTGCTACAAGATGCTAGCCCCTTTTAAACAAAGGAAAAACTGGTTTTCTTAGATTTCTGAATTGATCTATTTATTTACTTCCCTCCTATGCTATAGAAGTCTCAATCTATTCACTTGCTTAAAATCCTTCAATGGCCTATAATCCAGATAATGAGCTGCAGGATGTCACCATTTCTCCCCCTACTCCTAGAAATCTGTTTGCAAAAATTTGCATATGCGCATTTTTCTAAACACACAGAGGTCACCACAGTTGGTACTCTACAAGCCTAAATACAGTGACCTTTTGGAAAATTTGTTTTATAGGCCATTTAAACTTCTGGTAACTTCTTAATTTAATGCTGTATTTGACCTTCAAACACCTTCTGGTACAACTTGCTCCTTAGAAACCGAGGCCCTGAGCCTCCCCAGCGGCACAGTGGTTGAGCACTGGGCTGCGATGTTGCCCGCAGCCTCTGCACTGCAGATTTGATCATGGCCGGCCGGCGAGGGTCCCACATGGCGCGACAGACCTCTCCTGTCTCGCCAGCTGCTCCCCTCAGCAGTGTATTTCCCCGCTCTGGCTCTGGTGAATTCTCTCAACCCTCCCAAGCTTCTGACTGTACCCAGTGCTTGTATAAATAAATGTGTAAGTAAATCTTAAAAAAAAATAAAGAAAGAAAAAAGAAACCGAGGCCCAAAAAGGTGGCATATGCAAAATTACTGAAATGGTCTCTGATAGAAACAGGACTAAATCTAGGACTGCTCCTCCTTGGCCTCATGCTTCTTTTAAAACAGTAATGCCCATTTCCTACCCATCATCAAGCCTGCCAGTTTCGATTGCTTATTTAATAAAAATATTTCCCACTGTCATTTAGAAATAGGAACCTGGGCCTCTCTGGTGTCACAGGAGTTTACTCTAAGTGCTATTGAGCTATCACTAGTCACTGAGGCATGAGTTCGATCCCCAGCCAGGGAGATGACCCACATGGTGTAAGCAGACCTCTTGCCTGCTGCTCCCCTCAGCATTTTAGTAGACCTGCCTGTTCTGCTCCCTACTGTTTCTGGTGAATCCTCCTACTGAGACAGGGCAAGCTAGGGTTATTAGGCAGTTTTAGGGACAGTGCAGGAGGGGACCTCTGAAGAATTTAGGGAGGCTTCAGAGATAAGGACAACCAAAGAAATATAACCAATTCCATTAGGAAAAACAAACATGCCAGGACCAAGGACAACATTGTTAATGCTGGTCCTGGTTTCCTTCAGGTGGTAAAGGGAGGCGGAGATTGGAGAAATGGAGAGTGGTTTAATTTATGGTCACATTAGAAGGGCAGCTGTTTAACTTCAATGCAGGGATGCCCATCCAGAAGACTGGGCCATAAATTTAAAGATGCAACAAATGGGAAAAGAGAAAGCTGTTAGATAAGGAATGTGAAGATCCCCACTCAGTAGCAAATTGAGTGAGACAGCCAAGAACTAACCAATCACAGAGAGACTGGTGAAGTTTTAGAATAATGAGGGAAAAAAGGTATATATTCCCTGAGACACAATTCCACTTTGGCTTCCTTGCCCCTCCCAGGCCTGGTTCCCTGGCCTGGGAGTCCCACTTTATTTCTGCTCTTTTCCTCCTCAATAAACTTTTTCTTCTAAACAAACCTGCCTCTTCTCGCTTGCTTGCCTGAGCGTCTGCGAAGTTCCTGCTGCGGCTTTGTGAGACACCAACCCGTGGGGGTCTAGCAGCTGGGGCTCAGCGCTGCCCTGCAGCCTGAAATCCGATCCCGGCTGGGAGACTAGGCCTGACAATTTCGGTATCACTACCACCCCAGCTCCCCCAAATTCTGGCCTACATATCAGTTCTTGTATACACAAATAAATAAAATAAATTTTAGAAATAGGAACCTTAATTAGCTGGTAGGGTTTATTCAGAGAACAAATTTATCAGGTTCCTTCCCCCAGGTCAACTACTTTCTTTAATATGTTGATTTCAGTTTGATTTGGAATTTAAGTTATAGAAAAAATCATTTTTTGGTGACCTTGCTTCAGTTTTCTTCATAACTGTGCTTCTAAAGTTGGTTGTTTGGTGAATACAATGACACTTCATTTATCATCCTATAACTAATAAAATTTTTGAAAAGAACATCAGCTAGTAGGAAAACCCTAAATTTTCAACATTCAAAGTTTACTGTAATTTGACCCAAACGAATGGCATTGCTTGAAATCTGTAAAACTGAACTCGTATCTATCTTCATGACTTTGCGCAGACTAAATCCCACTAGCTGGAATAAGTGAATGTTTGCTGTGTGCCAACCAGTGCTAAGTTCACCCACATTACTTGATTTTATTTTCACTGTCTCTTCAGGTACACATTATTATGTCCATTGTATGAGTGAGGAAAGCAATGCTTATTTTCAAATATAGTCTGTCACACTAAACTCCTTGCAATTTCTTCTTTGTCCTAAGTTCTTTCATAGACTTAGCACTGATCCCTATCTGAAAAATGTCCTTACTCATCCTTTCTACCCAGTCAATTCTTCCCTTAAGTTAGGAAGCTTCTTTGACACCAGCTGTCACATCACATGGTTTTACTAACCTGTTGAAAACCCGTCCATGCCCAGACTGTAGGCTACTTAAGGGAAGGGCTCTTTTGCTAGCCATTATATCTGTATAGTGCGTCCACCAGCAACACAATAACTATACAATGTTTCTTCAGATTTATGGATCTCCAGGTATAAGCATTAAGCCCATATAAACACTCTTTTCTAGGAATGCATACAAGTACCTGAGTAGTGATTTTCTTTAAACTCTTTACTGACACTTGGATTTGATGTACAGGGCTAAAGCTTATTATGTTATCTTCTCTTTCCCCCTAAATGAAAAACAGGTGTCCACTTTTAGTTTATGGAAAAGCCCGGGTAATTACCTTTGGACACATTTGGGGCACAACATATTGTCCTCCAGGTGTGGGGGTGTAAAATTGCAGGAGGGGAGCAGGAACAGGGCACACACTTGCCCTTGTTTCTCAGGTACCCAGGCTTGTCCCCCATGAAACTGAAGGCGGACCCAGCCTTCTCTGTCTGCAGGGAGACTTCTTCCATGAATAACACACCACCTAACATCTGGGAACAGAAAGAGAGTTAATTATAAACAGAGTGACGAAATCCTACTGTTTAAGACTGCACACCTTGACCTTTGATTCTTTTTTTTCTCAAGTGACAGCTCCAATATAGAAGCTCTGGAATCCTAACTATACCTATTCTATCCTGCTCCCCTTAGTAAATAATGCAAATTTGTTCCTGTTAAAACTTTAGAGCTGGAAGTGGCAAAGCTGCATGTGGGTATTTGATAGTGCAGAGGAGGCAAAACTATCCATTTCAGGTGTTCAGCCGGGGCTCAGTGACAAAATGAAAATCAGACTAGCTAGAGTTTATTAAATAGTGTAGCACTCACCAAAGAGAAGCTGCCAGGAAAACTAGTCCAAGACGATGGGTTAGAATTCTAAGTTATATAACATCTTCCACAAAGACCAAAGAATTGGTAGAGGAATCACAGGACAAACAAAGAAAAGCAGTTTTAGGTTCCCAAGCACAATAAACTATGGAAAAATATATGAAAGGACCTAATGGAATAAGCTTTATTTGCAGATTCTTCTGGTGCCATCTCTAGGTTGCTTAAGAGTCTGTCTCCAGCAAAGGGACAATTTATATCCTGCCTTTAGCCAATCGGGGCAACTTTTTCTGGGTTTGCTACTTTGTCTTTAGCGCAAATTTAATTTTCGTGTTAAAGAGGCATATTCTGGGTAGCCATATTTTGGTTTCCTCCAATAGAAATGCCAAACCAGACTAGTCTGGGAAGGGTTTTGTCAAATAGTCTCAACTCTTTAGTAGGCGCTGTGTTGTGTAAACCAGGTTATGATGTTCTGGAAATGTATCCCCTGTCATTCTTAAAATATTTGAGGTAGATAGAATTATTAACCTATTTTACAACAAAGAAACTGAAAACTGGCTTGAATAAATTTTTAAATTGAGGTGACACTGATTTATAATGTGGTCTAAGTTTCAGATTACAACTTTACACTTTGATATCTATATAAAATATATGCTGGTCACCACCAAAAGTAGTTTCTATCCACTGCCAATCAATTGACCCATTTACCCAATTCACTTACCCTTAATTAACAACTTTCCACTTACTAATGAGTGTAATAGGTGCTAGAAGACCCAGGCTCAAGCTCAGTTGATTTTTACATAATCAGCCTTTTAATTCCTTAAAGGGGAAAAGAAATGATACCAAACAGATTGCTATCCCCCTTCTGATGACAAAATAATTGCAATGGTATTCACTATTAACATTGCCTTGGAACCTAGCCCTACCTCAGTCCTAAATCAGAAACTAAGGGGGAATGGGACGGGGCCCCAGGACTCACCAGCTCTTCAAGATTTTGATATATCCTAAAAGCGATCCCAGGTTAACATTTAAACTCATGTCCTCATCTGGACCAGATCTAGCTCCTACTGTTGACTGGACTTACCACTTGACTCTGGTGGTGACTGTACTTCTTGTATTTCCTCCATCCTTCCAGCCATGGCTGTTATTCTGGTCCAGGAGGCAAACACAGCATCTGGGGCAGATGTTGTCACTACCACCGTGTCAACTGTCTCGAGAGTTGATTCTTGGAGGATAGGTGCCGGCACACTGTCCTCAGGAGAAGCATTTACTTTAGGAGGATTAGTTTCCTTAGAACTTTCCGGAGTTATTTTCCCACTGCTTAGCACTGCTTTTAGCTCTGATTTCTTCAGGATCCTGGCCTCCTTTGCAGTGTTGGGAATATCCTACAAATTGGTTTTAAAAGATTAAAGTGATAATTACAAGTGCAGTCTCAATATTTATTGCTCTCTTTGCAGTTGCTAAGTGAGGGGATATTGTTCCTTCTTAGAATGAGGCATATAGGGGGGAAAAGAGGGACTGAAACAATTCTCCACACTTTTTGATTCTAAAATAGGTAATCAGGTTGAGAACTAAGTCTTCCACTCTGCCAAATTTCCTATAAATTACTTACCTTTTGATTTGGATATGCATATTCACAGATTCTCTTATAAACTTCTAATTTCTAAGACAAGAGAAAAATGAGTTAGTAATCATAGCAAGGGGTCCCCCCCTTCACCCAGCACCATAGTATCTCACCCCAGCTCACACCTGGCCCTTGGTGCTCAGCTTTAGTTCCCGACCCCAGGCCCGCACAATGTCCCGGTGAAGCAGATTGATGGGTGGGATTTTCAAGGGCAGTGGAGGAATTGGTATCTTCTTCCGTTCAGGTTTTACTCTATCATTGTCTTGTGCTTTCTCGGTTTTGCAAGAAGCTTGAAGGAGAATGGGACAAAATTAGTGATAAATTTTTGTGTTACTTTTTAAAATAGCAAAAGTACAAACACTCTCAGTTTTTGTAATCCAATCCCGATTTTACAGCTAAATATTTTGCCAAGGGCCACATCATCTCAAGAGACAGAACCTAATAGCTGGGGTTGAATACTTCTGAAACTGAGTTTTTACTTCCTAAAATTCCCCACCACTCATACATACTTGCCCCTTTGTAGTTGTTCAACTCACTGGCTCTAGGATCCACTGGAGATTGTACTTCTAAGGGGTTGCTAGTTTTAGACCTGTGTTTATAAATGCTCAAAAGTTGCCTTATCCTTTCACTATAAAAAACCACCAACAACATTGCACACACAACCACCAATAATTCTGTCAACCCACCATCATGTCTGCACTGGGGTCTCCAGCTACTTACACCTCACCTCAGGAAAAGACATATAGGAAAGACAGATCATACTCCAGAACATTCACAACTACGCTATTTTAGTCCCTCTGGTTTAATGAGTACACACAATACCAATGAGGCATAGCATAGGTGTTTTTACCTAATTATTTTATTTAAGTTACAATTGATCCCTATCAGCCAATATAGGTATTATCCTTACTTTTTAAAACAGGAAACAGAGTTCTAACAATGGGATTTTAAATTTATAAGCCGCTTGTCCCCAAATTATTTTACACTGAGATCCCTAACTCCAAGCAGTCAGTTAAGGCAAAAATAATTACCAGAATTAAATATATTATGGGAGTTTAGAGACAGGAAGAGAAAAGTTTTAACAGAGGGGACTCAAGGAGAGCCTCAGGAAGGTGGGCTTTAAACTAAACTTAAGGGCCTCCCTGGTGGCGCTGGGGTTAAAGACAGAGCTATCAAGTAAGCTATTACTAGCCCCTGCAGAATGAGTTCAATCCCAGCCTGGCCAGGAGCAACCCACACAGCACAGCAGACCTCTCTTGTCTAGCCTGCTGCTCTCCTCTCTCTCTGGTGAATCCTCTCACCTGCTTCCCCTCCCCCGCACCTCTGGCTTACACCCCAGTTCTTTTATGCATAAATAAATCTTTAAGAAAAAATAGACTAGACTTCAAAGAAATGTAGCACCTACAAAGTACAGGGTGGAAATTTGTTCCCAAATCCTTCAGAAAAATCCATCAGGGTTTCTTAGGCACTAGTGTAAGCACACGAGTGTATAGAACCTCTTACTTTTGTCCTCTTTCATACTTCTTTTTCGTTTGGTCGCCTTTGTTGAGGTTATTCTTTTCATAGTTGATATACTTTCACCAGAAGTTCTCTGTTCCTCTATGGACACGGTTTTGAATTGGAAAGTAACATTTTCTTCCCCCAACTTCTTTGTGGAATTCCACTGCAGACAGAAGAACCAGTCAGTCATTCCTATGATGTCCACCCGCCATAAACACCACTGACTATTAAGATCTTAAACCCACAGGCAAAGCACCAAGATAGTCATTGAACTCCACACTGGTGATACGGATTCTCCTCGGGACACAATCTTAACTCTAAGTTTCATTTATAAGATAGGGAAGCAAGGCCAATTTGAAAGTACAGGACAGGAAATATGGATCCAAACAAAAATATGATCACACAATTACATAAAGCAGAAAAACTGGTGGGTAGGGTATGATTGTATCGTTTGAGATAATTGGCTTAAAGATCTTGAATCTTTTAAATAAATATTTAAATACATTGAGAAAAATGTAAACCAAATTTTACAAAAAAGTAGAATAAGCTGCTTTTGGGAAAACTTAAATCACCTATTTGTCCCCAAATTTCCCCATTCCTTCATTCTTTACCTCTTTCAAATAAACGTGTTTCCATATTATTGCCAAAGAGATGCTATACACCCATTCAAGGAATTGTTCTTGGCATGAAAATTGTCTTTATACAACCTACAATGTTTCTTCTCTTAATTGCTCTCCATTGCCCCAAGTTCCAGTAGCAGAATTCCTTTCCAACTTATCTACTTGCCTGAAGGGTTATCACTTAGCTCCACCCTATATCCCACACCCACCCACATCTATTGATATTTAAAAATCTTAAATCTTATTCCTCTTTCAAAATCTCCTTTCATGTATTAGTTCATCTGAAAAATTTTTCTAGTCTAATAGACTGAGTCAAATTTACAACATTTCATTATTACTACCTCCTGCCAATTGCAAATTTACCTTTGCTTATGTGATTTGATTAATACCTGTTACTCCATTTCACTGTAAACTTCGCAAAACTTTACCTTTCAACATGGACTCAATAAACATGGTGACCTTTTTTTTTTAACTTTGTTTTTAAGATGCAGAAGTAGAGGCTAAAAGGTTACATAACTAAGGGAAGCAGGTAAGCATATTAGATAGAAATTAAATCCAAATAAACTTTTTTTGCTCCCAAACATAAATCCTTTCTACTTCCCCCAAGGTGGGAGTACCAACAAATTAACAATTGTATGACATTTTTACATTTCCAAAGCAGCTTTACATTAGTATTCAAATTTTACATTTGCCCTGACACAAAGTCCTCACTTAGGGTCTCAAAGTCTTATAATTAACAGGGCAAAAATGACAAATTCTTGTAATGTAACACTGCGGACACTCATATTTCACTTCTGGAACAAGTCTCAAAGCCTCTCCACCTTTAGATTCTGTATGCAGTACTTGTCCACATATCTGATTTCTGATTATTTTTCGCTCTTAATGACCCCAGGGAAAAGAAGACAAGTCCAGACCCAGCACCTGTGTTTTAGGACCTTCTTTCCCAACCTTAGCTCAATTTCCTATTCCCAAAGTCTTTCCTCATCTCCCCTTTACTCCTGCAAGCATTTCCCTACAGATGCTTTATTCTGCTTGTGGTGCAAGCAGGATAAATCATCTCTTTAAAACCATAACAAGAAACCTTATTTCTTACTGACTCCTCACTTCAAAATACCGGGCTGCATTCATTTTCAAGACTACCTTTTTCTAAATATAAAGGAAGAAATTCTAAGGCACATTCTTTTCTCCTCAATGTAAGGATTACAAGTGCTGAGGCAGAGAAACATGCGAAGACTCACAAAGACAGAGAACAAACATGCTAAAATTGCATTTTATGCTATTAAATCATACCCCAATATTTACCTCTTTGCCTTTTGAATTCTCCATACTCTAGAAGTTGAGGTTGATATAAACTTAGGAGTTCTGAAATGGCCCCTAGCCCAATACTGCTGTTAAAAGTCTCCTCCCACTTCCTGCCACCAAAAACACTTTTCTTTGTCTCCTCCCCCCCCCCATTCGTGAATGTAAAATTGTCTACTATCTTATTCAGGAGGTGACTTTTGTATTGATGGATATATTAGTGATACCATTTCTGCTTCTTTTTAACTTAATCATGTACGGTGTGGTTCACAAGACATTGGGAAATTGATAATGCCTTCGGAAAATTTCCAAGCGGGGAAAAAAAAAAAATGTTGCTAGAGACATCTGAATGAGATGTGTGAAGGGATTTAATGATCGGATTTGTGGAAACAATAGAAACCTGGGGCCAAACCGGTGGCTCGAAAAAGGGAAACTTTTTGCATGTATCACCTTCAGTCCATTTCTTAAGCAAGTTACTCCGCCAATTCAAACTCCAGCTTTCCACCTCTACTAAAAAGCACCTTCTCAGCTGTCAACAACTAATAATACTTTTGTCATGTTCTTTAAGTATCTCTTACGTGCCAAATTCTAGGTTCGAGAGTTCACAATCACTAATTTTATTATTCTCCATTTGTTTTTGCTCATATTATTTAGGAGTTCCATTTTCACTCAACAGATTTTACGTAGTTCGTATTTGCTTCTTCACTCATTAGCTCATCTAGTGCTAAAGGGTTACTCTTGATCAGACAATATCTTCATAACAAGATCTGTTGACAAGACCTGTATTTTCTGCAAGAGCTTCATTAATTTCAGTTACTTCAGCTAAAGAATAGAGTTCACTAGCAGAGTACCCATTTTCCAAAGCACCATACTCCTGTTGTTTGCTCAATTTTTTCCTAATTTCAAGCGGATGACAGTAAACATCTCCAAGCTTCCTGTGAAAAATTGCTGATCCCCACTGTTCCAATACGATCTTTTTTTGTTATCCACCCATGTTTGTGAATTTTCTGACTGAGAGCAGAGCTGAGTCCTGGCGCAGCTTGCAGACCCCGCCAGCCTTATTTGCAGAGCCCAGGGCCCTTGCAGGTAGGCACCGCAGGTGCGCAGGCTGCGTGCGGAGAGCAAGCGGCTTCCTGCCGGCTGTGCGCCCCTGGCAGCGCCGCCTCAACGCGGTGAGGGAAGCTGCGTAGTGGAGCCGAGACTCGCACACACCCCATTCTCTATTTTAGAGATCACAAAGGTATGAATAAAATTGCGTTGATGACTTGCTTGGTGGTACAGTAAGTCCTGAGCCCGGTTCTACTCCTGGAAACTCTTACCTACAGACTCCCGAGCAAAGTCAAGATTCTCTCCACGGATAGTTTGAAATTCACCTTCCCAGGTTAACTCCTTATGGTCAAGCTGTCCAGATGAGAGGAGTGAACCAAAGGCGTTTCCTATAATTAAATGGGAGCCACATCTTCATTTGTCAGATTACAAAATCTGTTTTGTTCCTTTTTTGTTTGTTTTGCCAGCATCTCATTGCCCTAAAATGATATGATTCTTACCTAAAATGAAGGTAAAAATCTGCTCACGAATTAGAAGTACCTGGAGATAGGAAGTAAGTAAATGGGGACTTAGGAGTAATGACATGTGGACTGAACAAGCTGCAGAGAAGCAAAGGGGAGAGCAGGTATTTAGAATCGTGATTGTCTGGGGCCTGGAATTGGGTATTGATGGACGGTATCTTTCCCCCTGGTTTACAGCCAACCAGTCAAGACTTACTAGTTAAGGAATGCGTAATGTACTTAATTGAATCTTCTTTTTTATCCCAGTGTAATTGGAAGTGACATTGCTGAATTCTAAATTAAGTACAAACCCAGATTTTGCAATATCTAATCCTGGGCAAGAAGCAATCTGTAATTTGTATATAAGTAGATAGAGTGTGTGTCGGAATAATGATTTTGAAATTCTTACACCTACCACCGTTTGGGGGGACACAATTCTAAAAGAATTTCATGACCATTCAAAAAAATGAGTTAACTATGTATAATGCCCTATGTAAAAACAGAATTAGGGTGTCTCCCTGGTGGCCTAGGGGTTAAAGTCTCAGGGCTACTGTTATAGGACAGCCCTGATATTGAAAGGGTGGGATTTGGAGTTCCCAGTGTCTTTGGCTTTGGCCTGGGGTGGGGGTGGAGTCCACAAAGCCTGTATGGAATTAGCTTTAGGACAATCCTTTTCCCCCTGACACTACCACTGTGAAGGCTCACCACAACGGCCTGAGTTTGATCCCCAGCCAGGGAGCTAACCCAAATATGGTGTAGCAGACCCCTCCTGTCTGTCCTGCTGCTCCCTTCAGCGGTGTATTTCAGTAGATATGCTTGTTTGGCTCCCCACGCTGTCTGGTGAATCCTTTCATGGCGCCCCATACCTCTACTTCACACCCCAGTTCTTCTATGCTAAAAGATAAATAAATAAAGGAATCAGTACATTTTAATTTAACATATCTCAGCTTAATTGAAATAATACTGTGTTCTTGAATGAAACAAAAGCTATATCTTTTCTGTAGGACTGGTTGGAGTTATAATTTGTAAGCAACCTTGGGCAAAGTATGATATATTTGTGCTTTAGTTTCTCAAATATAAAATAGAAATAACTAAGTTTATTGTAGCTTTTAGAGAAATAATGAACACAGGTTTTGTTTTGTTTTGTTTTTATTTATACAAGCACTGGGTACAGTCAGAAACGCAGGAGGGTGAGAGAATTCACCAGAGCCAGAGCGGGGAGCAGAGCAGGCAGAAGGACCGAAGTACACTGCTGAGGGGAGCAGCGTGCGGCAGCAGAGGTCTGCGCGCCATGTGGGACCCTCCTCCGGTAGCCGGGGAGCAGCCGGGGATCGAACCAGCACTGCAGAGGCTGCGGGCAGCTTCGCAACCCAGCGCTCACCCGCTGCGCCACCAGGGAGGCCCTGAACACAGGTTTATGTGTAAAATTTGTTACAAATGTTTAGTGGTCAAAAGAAAACTTTTTTTTTTAAAAAAAGATTTATTTATTTTATGCATATAAGAACTGGGGTATAGGCCAGTGGTGTGCAGGGTGAGAGGATTCACCAGAGACAGAGTGGGGAGCAGAACAGGCAGACTGAGGTAAGTACACTGCTGAGGGAAGCAGCGGGCGAGTCAGGAGAGGTCTGCTGCACCAGGTGGGTAGCTTCCCAGCCAGGGATCAAACTAATACTGCAGTAGCTGAGGACAGCTTCATAGGTTGTGTTTTTTTTTTTAAATTGCACCTTTTTTTTTTTTTAAGATTTATTTACTTATTTATACAAGCACTGGGTACAGTCAGAAGCACTGGAGGGTGAGAGAATTCACCAGAGAAGAGCGGGGAGCAGAGCAGGCAGACAGAGGACACTGCTGAGGGGAGCAGTGGGCGGCAGGAGAGGTCTGCACACCATGTGGGACCCTCGCCATTGGCGGGGGATCGAACCGGTGCTGTAGAGGCTGCGGGCAGCTTCGTAGCCCATTGCTCAACCACTGGGCCACCAGGGGAGGCCCTTCATAGGTTGTGTCTTAACCCCTTGGGCCACCAGGGAGGTCTAGAAAACTATTACTTTTTAAAGTGTTATGCCAGGGCCTCCCCGGTGGCGCAGCGGTTGAACACTGGGTTGCGAAGCTGCCCGCAGCCTCTGCAGCACCGGTTTGATCCCCGGCCGGCCTGCAAGGGTCCCACAGGGCGTGCAGACCTCTCCTGCCCCCCTGCTTGCTCCCCTCAGCAGTGTATTTCGTCAATCTGCCTGTTCTGTTCCCCACTCTGGCTCTGGTGAATTCTCTCACCCTCCCATGCTTCTGACTGTACCCAGTGCTTGTATAAATAAATAAATCTTAAAAAAATAAAATAAAGTGTTATGCCAATGTCTAAGATTCCACCTATCCTGAATCCAAAAAAATATTTATAATCAAATGTCATTCATTTATGGGCAAAAGAGTATGGGTGTCTACTACATGCTTGGCATGGGAGTGACAGTGATGAAAAAAAAAAAACAGATCAGGGACCGGCATTCATAGGTTTCTGGACTGTTCGGAAGAAGGCATTAAGCAAATAATACCAATAGCTAATAAGATAAGCAAATGCTTTTTTACATTTTAACATGCATTCTATTTATTTATTTGCATTACAAACGTAGCCTATTCAACCATGATACTTGAAAAGAAGGAGAACATATGATAGCCTGTAGTAATGATTTTGAAGTCATTAGAAATGGGGGAAATTTGGGGCCCTTCCTGGTGGCGCAGTGGTTAAAACGTAGCACTATAGCGATCAGCAGGCTCTGCAGCACAAATTCGATCCCTGGCCAGGGAGCTACCCACATGGCGTGGCAGACCTTTCCTGTCTTGCCCACTTCCTTTCAGCAGTGTGTTTCAGTCAATCTACCTGCTCTGTTCCCCACTTTGTCTCTGGTGAATCCTCTCATCCCCACACCTCTCGTCTGTACCCAGTTCTTGTATGCATAAATAAATAAATCTTTAAAAAGAAAAAAAGAAATGGGGGAAATTAGTCAATCTGAAGAATCAGGTGAACTGAATTAACTGAATAGAGGAAGGGAAAGAGCTGCCTAGGACAAGGGCCACCCCCTGGTGGCAGCCCAGCTCCTTTAGAAAGTCTTGGCTGTGTGACTGGTGTTCAGAGAGAGAGGAGGAATGTGTAAGTGGAGTCTGGATAGATTGGCCTTTTGACCTTTAAGCTAAGAGTAATGGAAAGTTGTTGAAAAAATCAAGACAGGGATGGAGTGGGCACTCTGATGAGTATTTGTAAAGATCTTTAAACTTCAATGTGTAGAAAGAGGTGGAGATGAATCAGAATAGTCTCAGGCAAGTGAGTCAGGAGGTTACTGTGGCAGTTTTAGATAGGAGATACTGGCAACTACAGTGGTAATCCAGAGTTGTAGTTAAAAGCAGACTCAAAGCCAGAATTTTTTAACCCCCAATCTCCCTATAAAAGACAAGATAATGGACCCCAAATTGAATTGCTTATGGTAAGCCTCACATCACCAAACTGATATTTACAATTTCAGCCTCTCCCAGAAATGAAATGTTAAACCACTCAATCAGCCATCATCTAATATTTGTTA